TGTTTCATTCATTATGATTTATAAAGCTTTTAGGTTTGTCCAGAAACCCATGACAACTGAGCACACACAGCTGTAGTGTTAGACAACAAGATTTCCGGAAAGAATTCCCTACCTTGAAGTTTGGGGAATTTCTTTTTCTTGTTGAGAGAGAGAATATTGCATGTCCGTTTAAATATTTAAAACATGAGTTGTTCGTCTGTAATCATGGCTTGATTTCTGTTGTTTCTTTTTTTGTTTTCAACCCCATTCCGTTGCCGCTGTCGACTAAACTAAATCTGCTTTAGCTAGGCCCCAACCTTTCAGCCAATCAGAAGACATTTTAGGAAATGGATTTTTTAATTTTTTTTTTTAAGGTTCCACCAAATGTACTTTCCCCGTGATTAAATAAAGAACGGTGTTGCTTCCCTTACTTTTTGTATTACAATCATGCTGTACTCACAAATAATTTCTGGGAATCGGATGAGACAATGTCAAGGTCAAGAGAAGAATGGAGACTATGGAGGCCAACGTAAATAACTGTTACCGAGACCAGGCCGATGCTAAGTGTATTATTCATTCCTAGGAAGTCCAAGTGGCCCCCATTGATTATATGTCACGTGAATCGAGATATTAATCTAAACTTTTCCCCTTGCATTGCCAGTTAAACATCCCGTAAACTCCGTTCATTTTATCTAATTTCCCTCACTTGTTTAATCGTACATTTTTTTTCTCCCTGGCAGCCCAAACATTTAAAAGGGGGACAACTCAATAGCTGAGAATGGCTCTAACGGTTGGGCAGCACTTGCATTAGCATTTTGAGCCAATTGTATTCTGCATAAATGTTATGGATATCTCAAGTATTTTTGCAATAACGTTTGTTACAATGCATGCAGTAAATCCAAGCACTCACCATGCCAATTGTCTTGAGTGAGTCCTCACTATTTTATCAATGAACATTTTTAAAGGGAAAAAGTCATTGAAATTGTTGCGTCAAAGTTTACGATATTGGTCACATTTGTGTCAAAGTGTATTATTGTATTGGTCACATTTGTGTCAAAGTGTATTATTGTATTGGTCACATTTGTGTCAAAGTGTATTATTGTATTGGTCACATTTGTGTCAAAGTGTATTGTATTGGTCACATTTGTGTCAAAGTGTTGTATTGGTCACATTTGTGTCAAAGTGTATTGTATTGGTCACATTTGTGTCAAAGTGTATTGTATTAGTCACATTTATGTCAAAGTGTATTGTATTGGTCACATTTGTGTCAAAGTGTATTGTAGTGGTCACATTTGTGTCAAAGTGTATTGTATTGGTCACATTTGTGTCAAAGTGTATTGTATTGGTCACATTTGTGTCAAAGTGTATTGGTCACATTTTTGTCAAAGTGTATTGTATTGGTCACATTTGTGTCAAAGTGTATTGTATTGGTCACATTTGTGTCAAAGTGTATTGTATTGGTCACATTTGTGTCAAAGTGTATTGTATTGGTCACATTTGTGTCAAAGTATATTGTATTGGTCACATTTATGTCAAAGTTTACGATATTGGTCAAATTTGTGTCAAAGTTTACGATAGTGATTGCATTTGTTTGCATTTATTGGTAATAAATATTAAAAGGGTGACACAATTGGCAATGTAATATAGTTTATGACATGCAGATATTTTAGGAGCCAAATGAAATTGAAATGTAGGTTTGTGCTAGTATTTTCTTATTTCCATTGTATCTTCTCCTAGCTGTATGTAGCTGTGTATAGCTGAACGTAGCTGTGTGTAGCTGTGTATAGCTGAACGTAGCTGTGTGTAGCTGTGTATAGCTTAACATAGCTGTATGTAGCTTTATTTATTTATTTATTTATTTAGGCATTTTTATATAGCGCTTATCATAAAGCTCTAAGCGCTTTACAATTATTAAAACATGTAAACTAAGTAAATACAAATGAGATACTAGGATAGTAACTACTATTTAATTTATTTATTTATTTATTTAGGCATTTTTATATAGCGCTTATCATAAAGCTCTAAGCGCTTTACAATTATTAAAACATGTAAACTAAGTAAATACAAATGAGATACTAGGATAGTAACTACTATTTTATAGAAACAATGAAAATGACTATAAAACGAGGACACTTTGACACTTCAGGATCAACCCGAAACAGAAAATGAGGTAGGGCAAGGAGGGTGCATCACAGGTCATAGGCGGACCTAAACAGATGAGTTTTAAGGGACTTTTTGAAAGTGGACGAGGTTTCACTATGACGTATGTGGAAGGGGAGCTGGTTCCATAACGTGGGCCCATGGAAGCAGAAGGAGCGTTCACCGATGGTCTTAGCTTTATGGGGCTGTATGTAGCTGTATGTAGCTGTATGTAGCTGTATGTAGCTGTATGCAGCTGTATGTAGCTTATGTAGCTGTATGTAGCTGTATGTAGCTGTATGTAGCTGTATGTAGCTGTATGTAGCTGTATGTAGCTGTATGCAGCTGTATGTAGCTTATGTAGCTGTATGTAGCTGTATGTAGCTGTATGTAGCTGTATGTAGAAGAGTAATTTGCATTTAGATAAGACGATAAGCTAGACATAAGTTTTGGTAAAGTCATTTTCAATTGACTGTTCACTTTCATTGGCCTTCTTTGTTAAACGATGACCAGTGGATCCGATTCGTAAAACGGGTCACTGACTTTTGTCAGGGGCAGCCATGATGATGTCAGCTAGGTTAAACAAATGAAAAATCTCGGTGAACGATTGGTCGAAAACAGCTTTGATTTCGTGTCTGCTAATAATTTCTATTCATGATGGTATTTTTGTCCTTTGACGCGTTGATTGGTGGATTCGATCTATAGACTCGCTGAGAACAAGAGCGGCAGTTAACGCGATATCGCGTGACAGACGCACGGGAGCGAGAGAGTTGACACTCGTTGGAAGACATGTTGAAGTTAGCTCAACTTGCAGTAACAGGGTGTGCTCTTGAGTTTCACGTAAGTAGTTGAGCCCATTGTTGATATTTTAATTTCCCGTTGTTAGTTTGACAGAATTGTTTATCTCAAAGAATCTAATCAAAATCATTTGCGCTCGTCCCCAAAATCAACGATTAAGCACCTGACATCTAATCAATAGGTCTAAACAAGCAAATAGCGCACTCACAATAACATTGCTGCACGTTGGTTCATTCAAGGAAATACCAAGTTCTTATAAATGAAAAAACGTTTTTGAATGTCAAACTGCGTAGCAAAGTCCAGCTAAGTGGCATGCCGCAGAGCAGAGATTCAAGCGGTTGAATGTGATACTGGAATGTATACGTCAGCTTTTTAATTTGAAATTTAAGTTCATAGAGGTTGATTAAGAAATGTACTTCTATATTCTATTTTTTTTTAAAAAGTATGTCTTGCTTTGGTTAGAATTCAGTATAGACATCTGAATTGGTCTATTATACTCAGAAATGACATTTAAATATGTAAGTTAGGTGTGTAATGTGTAGACTGTTGGTCTGATCAATGTTTTTTGTGGAGGCATTGTGGACAACCACTGTGAATCGACCTTTCATCTTCATTTATTGGTGGATCCAGAAAACCTTCAAGGGAGGTCATCAAATGTTAGATCAAGGGAGGTCGTCGAATGTTAGATCAAGGGAGATCGTCGAATGTTAGATCAAGGGAGGTCATCGAATGTTAGATGAAGGGAGGTCATCAAATGTTAGATCAAGGGAGGTCATCGAATGTTAGATCAAATGAGGTCACCAAATGTTAGATCAAGGGAGGTCATCGAATGTTAGATCAAGGGAGGTCATCGAATGTTAGATCAAATGAGGTCACCAAATGTTAGATCAAGGGAGGTCATCAAATGTTAGATCAAGGGAGGTCATCGAATGTTGGATAAGAGAGACAGAAACACGTTGATGTCTAATGTCTGAACGTTGTCCATCATTTAGAACTATATTTAATTTAGCGTCATATAAAACAAGTTGAGTATTATCAGATTTCACTTATTGTAATATAAAACAAGTCAATTATAACCAGATTTACTTATTGTCATAAAACACAAGTCATTTCTAATTAGATTTCACTTATTTTCATATAAAACAAGGTAACTGTAGTCAGATTTTAGTTATTGTCATCTAAAACACGTCAATTATAATCAGATTTTACTCATTGTCATATAAAATAAGTCAATTCTAAATAGATTTTTCCTTATTATGGATCAGAATTTTATTTTCTTACGATGCTCACAGCTGATACATTTATTTATCTACAAGCCTATGCATAGAGTAAACGTATTAACTATTCAATACATAACTCAAACCTGTATTATTGTAGTTTCTTATATTTGTCAATTTATTAACAGAATATCAAGACTGTCACTGGGGCCTGCCTTCGATACCAAGGGATACTGCTCTCAACCAATCGTCTGAGCTCACTTTTATCTCGACGCCTATCAAGAAAGCTTTTTAAAAAAAAAAAAATTACTGATTGACAAATGAAGTCGAGTAAATTCAATCGAAGACTGGAGATGAACGAAACGAACCGAGTTAAAATATGAATTAACTTTTAGTTTGTGATCTGTTTTCTCGAAAGAAAAGAAAGAGATCCATGTATTCTGGCTCAAAAAACGATGACATCACAACCTATCGTCTGCAAGCCAAAAAAGTGCAGACGGCGTCCACGAAACAAGCCAACGGATTAGTGTATCGAATATATTCCGCCTACACCCCTTCGGCGATTTCCGCCAACATGTCACAACCGGAAACCCAACAAAATGGCGCCTCCCAAGGATATCGATTACAGCGGAGTGCTTACATCAACCGGCGGGACATTCCGACGCTCGGACACAGAGGTCTGGAGTTCGGTTTCGACGCCAGGATGTACGACGCTTTCTCCACAAGTCTGACACCACACGGCAGCACGGGGCTAGCGATCGGTGGCGACGTCCACGGAGACGGGATCCAGTACGGTGGTATCGAGAACTCGCCCAAAGTCCAATCGGTTCTTCGACTTCCGAGCATCGTCATCAGTGGAGCCGAGGACAGGAACGTTTTCGACAACCGTCCATCGGCACACTCGAGCACATCCCATTACGGGAACCACAACAGGCACGCCCACGAGGAGCGGAGGGTAGAGTCATCGGCCCTCCTCGGGGTGCCGGTGCTGCACCATTCACGTGGGACAAAGCCGAAGCAGCGCAAAGATGCAACTGCAACGTTCGGGAAAGACAGTTTGGCCGGGTCGACTCAGAGGAACAAGCGTCGTAAGTCAAGTTTCGTGGAGGACCCCAACAACCTCGCCATGAAGCTCTCCCTGCCCTGCCGAGCCGGTTGCTGCTACTGCGTGTACGCGGCCTTCCTTGGGCCGGTCAAGGTGTTCTTCACCCGAGCTGACCCACCGAAGAAAGGTCCGTTTTTGGGCAGGATTAAGGATGGGAACGGTCGGCCTGTGATTCCCGTGTCCCGAAAGAGTGACGTCAGAGGACTCGTCTACGACCCTAACAGTCACTCGCTTCACCCTCCAGCCAGGGGCGAGAGACCGATGTTTCAAGAAGCTCGTCCTGTCAAGAAAGACAAGGAGAAGGCGATGACGCAAACAGGGTCAAGGTCGAATTATAGGAAAGACAAAGAGCCCAGCAGTTGTAAGAAAGGTGGCGTAACCTTACCGAAACAAGGACATAACAGATAACTATGGGAATAACTGAGCTTGTAACAATTAAAGTCCATGGTTTAAATCAAGGGCCCAGATGCTTAAACTGATAGGGCCCCACCCAAAATGGCACCTATATCCACGCGCCCGTTGTTAAGATCTATAGTCTATCTGCGCCACGAATCGACAATGTACCAAAAAACTTTTTAACATATTTTTAATGTCACCTCATATTTTGATTTGGTAAAGATTGACCATACCACTCACCAAGCCACTTACCATACCACTTACCATACCACTTAACATATCACTTACCACATCACTTACCATACCACTAACCACATCACTTACCACATCACTTACCACACAACTTACCACACCGCTTACCATACCACTTACCATACCTCTTACCACACCACTTACCACACACTTAAAAAAACCACTTACCATACCACTTACCACACTACTTACCACACCACTTACCATACGGCTTATCAACCATTTACAACACCACTTACCATACCACTTAAAAATACCACTACCATACCACTTACCACATTACTTACCATACCACTAACTGCACCACTTACCACACCACTTATCATACCACTTACCATACCACTTACCACACTACTACCATACCACTTATCATACCACTTAACATACCACTTACCACACAACTTAACATACCACTTACCACACCACTTACCATACCACGTACCATACCACTAACATACCACTGACCACACCACTTAACATACAACTTACCACACCACTTACCATACCACTTACCACACCACTTAACATACCACTTACCACACCACTTAATATACCACTTACCACACCACTTTCCACACCACTTACCACACCACTTACCATACCACTAACCACACCACTTAACATACCACTTACCACACCACTTGCCATACCACTTACCATACCACTTACCACACCACTTACCACACCACTTAACATACCACTTACCACACCACTTAATATACCACTAACCACACCACTTACCACACCACTTACCACACCACTTACCACACCACTTACCACACAACTTACCACACCACTAACCACACCACTTAACATACCACTTACCACACCACTTAATATACCACTTACTACACTACTGACCATACCACTTACCATACCACTTACCACAGCATTTACCATACCACTTACCATACCACTTACCACACCACTTACCATACCACTTACCACACCACTTACCATACCACTTACCATACCACTTACCACACCACTTACCATACAACTTACCATACCACTTACCACACCACTTACCACACCACTTACCATACCACATGTGACTTATTGGACATAGACTCAAAACATTTCAGCAATGTGCACTTAAGTTCCTTGTCGAAACCCTAATAGATTAAGCTTCTAAACAGTTTTATCTATCCTATATCAAACTGATCCAGAGTCAATACATTATCCTGTCAATCTATATTTCTATATCGGTGGAAGTTGTGTGTGCATTGTTTCTTTAATATTTTTTTTTTTTAATCTCTGCTTTACGTCGTCGAGTTATTTATTTTTTAAACCATTTTATCTTAATAGCGATGACGTTTTTGTATAAAGAGTTTTGCTTGCAAGCGTCTTGTCTTCCATCTTAGAAATTGCTGTGCATTATTAATGTATGCGTCATGCGTGTACACGCTTAAGCAGTATTATCAAAATCAGTGGTTCTCAACCTTTTCTAATGCCACGACCCTTTAATACAGTTCCTCCTTTTGGTGTTGACCCCCAACCATAAAAATTATTTTCGTTGCTGCTTCACAAATATGTGTTTTCAGATGGCCTTACGCGACCCCTGTGTAAGGGTCATTCGACCCCCAAAGGGGTCGCGACCCACAGGTTGAGAACCACTGGTCAAAATCGCTGAAACTATTTCACAAAAGATTCATAAGTTGTATAAAAAACCCAGAGTTACAAGCGAGACATTTCATCTCAAGACCTTCCGTTTTTTAAAGTTGTAAAAACGTGTTAGCTGAGTTCATCCTCCTTCAATAAGTTCTTTCGTTATGACGTCATGTACATAAATATTTGTGTAAGCATTCTAAAAAATAAATGATATCACTTTACCACACTAAATGTAGGCGTTCTAACTGAAGTTTCGTAATGAAATTAAATAACAAAATTCAACTATTCCATGAACAATTTAAAGAATACAATAACACCAGTGAAAGGTTTGCCAACCTACACTCAAACGTAATGGTGCTACATGATTGGACACAAAAAATGGAACGTTAAAACGTGTTGGGTTGTTTTTGTCTCATAATAACATCTAAGTATTGAAGATCGATTGCGTTAAGGCTGATCTCTATGTTCAGTAGTGGACTTAATCAGTCACAGATGATTGATGTCCAATCATACATGAGTTATTTTTAGAATATGGCAGGATTTTAGAATATTTTTAGCAATCATTCAACAACTGGATGGGTGCGTTCTGTGAGATGTCCTGTGAGATGTTCTTTGAGATGTTCTTTGAGATGTCCTGTCAGATGTTCTGTGCAATGTTCTGTGGAATGGCCTGTGACATGTTCTGTGAGATGTTCTTTTGAGAGATTCAAAAATTCAATTGAGAAACGTCTGTTGATGTATTCATGGGCACCTAGGGGTGTCATGTTATGCCAGTGCTGCCCTCTGAACCTAAGGGTGTCATGTTATGCCAGTGCTGCCCTCTGAACCTAGTTGTGTCATGTTATGCCAGTGCTGTCCTCTGAACCTAGTTGTGTCATGTTATGCCAGTGCCCTCTGCACCAAAGGTTGTCATGCTATGCCAGTGCCATTTGAACCAAGGTTGTCATGCTATGCCAGTGCACCAAAGGTTGTCGTGTTATTCCAGTGCCATTTGAACCAAAGGTTGTCATGCTATGCCAGTGCACCAAAGGTTGTCATGCTATGCCAGTGCCATTTGAACCAAGGTTGTCATGCTATGACAGTGCACCAAAGGTTGTCATGCTATGCCAGTGCCATTTGAACCAAGGTTGTCATGCTATGCCAGTGCACCAAAGGTTGTCGTGTTATTCCAGTGCCATTTGAACCAAAGGTTCTCTTGTTATTCCAGTGCAATTTGCACCAAAGGTTGTCATGCTATGCCAGTGCACCAAAGGTTGTCATGCTATGCCAGTGCCATTTGAACCAAGGTTGTCATGCTATGCCAGTGCACCAAAGGTTGTCATGCTATGCCAGTGCCATTTTAACCAATGTTGTCATGCTATGCCAGTGCCATTTGAACCATGGTTGTCATGCTATGCCAGTGCCATTTGAACCAAGGTTGTCATGCTATGCCAGTGCACCAAAGGTTGTCATGCTATGCCAGTGCCATTTTAACCAAGGTTGTCATGCTATGCCAGTGCCATTTGAACCAAGGTTGTCATGCTATGCCAGTGCACCAAAGGTTGTCATGTTATGCCAGTGCACCAAAGGTTGTCATGCTATGCCAGTGCACCAAAGGTTGTCATGCTATGCCAGTGCCATTTGAACCAAAGGTTGTCATGCTATCCCAATGCACCAAAGGTTGTCATGCTATGCCAGTGCACCAAAGGTTGTCAGTTATGCCAGTGCACCAAAGGTTGTCATGTTATGCCAGTGCCCCAAAGGTTGTCATGGTATGCCAGTGCCCCCAGAAAGACTTCAGTTTCTCAATTCTATATAAAAAGATGTGATATTCATCTCTGAGGTCTGAGGTACAATACGTCACGAATGTTAACAAAATGGTCATGTCAGAAGCATGTATTGACATGTCTATGTTTCATTTTAATTCTTCTATATTTCTTATTTACAGTTTTGATACAGCCTTGAACTTCTGATAAACATAAACGAATATTAATTTAAAAGAGAGATGAAGACGAACGTCATTGTGTCCTTCTCCTCAAATGTTTATGTCTCTTCCAACAATCTTCAAACAGTAATATTGAAACTGTTCATGACGTAACAGTGACGTATGAAGTGGGTATAGAATGGGCGGTCCATTCTGGGTGGGGGGGGCACTTTTTTCTTTATATGGAGGGCTGCATTTTCTGGCAAATGTAGTTTTTTTTCGCTGAAGGGGTGTTAGATGGTCCCCCACCCCAGGCGGCACTAAACCATTGTTAGAGTCAATCACTGGCGTATAGTATATAGGTTGAGTGGAGGGTAATTGGGGGGGGGGGGAGGGCGGAGGGGAAAAAGGAAAAAGAGAGAAAAAAAGATTGGGGGAAAACAAAAAAAAAAAAGAAGACAAAAAAAAAAAAAAAGGGGGGGGGGGGAGGGCTGAGTGGAAAAATGTAAATGAGTGAAACAAAGTTTGGGGGAAAACCTAAAAAAAAAAGAACGCAACAAAACAACAAACGTGTCGGCAAGAAGCCTTCATCAGCGAATAAACAAAATAACATTCAAAACAGAATAAAATAAAAATAATGCTTATAATTTAGTATCTGAGACGAAAGCAAGCTGAATGTGAAAGAACATGAGTTGGTGAGAGATTAAATACGTGTGAAAGGATCGTAACGAGAAGGGGCGGAGAAAAGGTTTAATATGTGAATGAGAATATAGCATTCATGCCATGTGGTGTCAAGGTTCCATAAGTCTAGATCAGCTTCTTTCCAAATTCACCCGGTTTGCTTTGTTGTTATACAGCGTTGTCTCACCATGGCTAGTATACAGCATTGTCTCACCATGGCTTGTATACAGCATTGTCTCACCATGGCTTGTTATACAGCATTGTCTCATCATGGTTAGTATATAGCATTGTCTCACCATGGCTAGTATGCAGCATTGTCTCACCATGGCTTGTTATACAGCATTGTCTCATCATGGCTATTATACAGCATTGTCTCACCATGGCTTGTATACAGCATTGTCTCACCATGGCTAGTATACAGCATTGTCTCACCATGGCTAGTATACAGCATTGTCTCATCATGGCTAGTATATAGCATTGTCTCACCATGGCTTGTTACACAGCATTGTCTCATCATGGCTATTATACAGCATTGTCTCATCATGGCTTGTATACAGCATTGTCTCACAATGGCTTGTATACAGCATTGTCTCACCATGGCTTGTTATTCAGCATTGTCTCATCATAGCTATTATACAGCATTGTCTCACCATGGCTTGTATACAGCATTGTCTCACCATGGCTTGTTATACAGCATTGTCTCATCATGGCTAGTATATAGCATTGTCTCACCATGGCTTGTTATACAGCATTGTCTCACCATGGCTATTATACAGCATTGTCTCATCATGGCTAGTGTATAGCTTTGTCTCACCATGGCTAGTATACAGCATTGTCTCACCATGGCTTGTTATACAGCATTGTCTCACCACGGCTTGTTATACAGCATTGTCTCACCATGGCTTGTATACAGCATTGTCACATCATGGCTAGTTGTACAGCATTGTCTCATCATGGCTTGTTATAAAGCACTGTCTCATCATTGCTAGTTATACAGCACTGTCTCATCATGGCCGGTTATATAGCATTGTCAAAATTTATTTTGAAGAGACACAAGTAATTTTTAAAAAAAAATGTGTTATTTTTATTTGAGAGATTATGCAACAAAAACACAAAGTTTAACGACAAGACGCTGCACTCAAATATTTATTTCTTTACTAATTTAATTTTTACACGTAAGTTAAACAACATCCACCTCATATTATGAAAATATTCGCCATTAGCACACGATTATGACCAATGAGCTGCTAGACATATTTCAACATAAAATCATTTATACCAACCAGTGGCGTACTCTCTGAGACAACCATATTAGTTGTAACTTCTTTTCATTAGGATCATCTTATAACAAAATGACTTCACAATGTCTCCTTGTTGTTAAAGTTATTATAGTTTTATCATTAATCTAAACAGCAAGGAAGAGAACTCTGACGTCAGCCGACATCACTGTTCAAAAGTTAGAAATCACATAGGGCTCTGATACAGCAACTAATTGAGGAGAAGGGTGCTTAACTAACCAATCCTTTTGCTGTTTGAGTTGGGGTTGTTGTTGTTGTTGTTGTTGTTGATGTTGTTGTTGTTGTTGTAGTAATTGTTGTTGATGTTGTTGTAGTTATTGTTGTGGTTGTTGTTGTTGTTGTAGTTATTGTTGTTGTTGTAGTTATTGTTGTTGTTGTTGTAGTTATTCTTGTTGTTGTTGTTATGTTGTTTTTGTTGTTGTTGTTATGCTGTTGTTGTTGTTGTCGTTGTGGGGGATTCAGAGGTTTGCAATCCATAAATGACGTCACACAATTTTGGCCGATCTTTACCACCTCCCCCCTTTTTCCCTCTTTTTTCATCGTCATCAATTTATATCAAAATTTAGACTTCCTCATAATCGATCACCAAAAAATTCATCTCTCTTCCCCCCCCCCCNCCCCCCCCCCCTTTTCCATACAAAAACTTTTTAGATACTTGACGTAAGTTATTAATAATTATTAAGACCGGAAACATTGCCCCCCCCCCTAACATTACTAACAACTATTACCTCCTACACAACCATTACTTCCTTAACTACCATTATCTCCTAAACAACCGAGTTCCGTGTTCATGAAGCAATTTTATCAATTGAATCGAATTATATACAAATTTAAGTCCACAATATCAGTAGATTTTGAGCATACTCCAACTATCTGTACATAAGAGTTCAAATATTAGGCACGTGTTTGTATGTTCATATGCACTTTAAAATAGGTTGACACATAAAGTGACATAATATAAGTGTTTCTTATAGGTTGACACGTAAAGTGACATGTCATAAAATAAAGTTATTCTTATAAGTTCACACATAAAGTTATAGATCTATGTCATAAGTATTGCTTATTTTTCATTGCTACAATGATGGCGTCTCTTTCATTACAACTTCCGCATCCAAAAAAAAAAAATTATAATAATAATTAAATGGAAAAAAAACCATTCTTCGTTAAGTTCCTTCTGATTGGTTCCCCCACGGAGGACGTCACGTGACACTAAACGGTGATGGTGGGAGTGGCAGTCGTAAAGCTTGTTGGTGACGTGTTCGTGGTCGGGGTGATGGTGCTGTTGCCCGTTTGTTGGCTGATGTACTGGGTGAGAACAGCCTTGGCCTCGACTAGTTTGTCTTCGGGGATCTGACATCTGCTTCTGAGAACCTGCACGTGCATTTAGCCATCGATTAACATTTATAAGAACTGGGGGGGGGGGGGGGGGGGGGGGGGGGTTTTTTTANCGGCCCTGTGCCTCCACCTTCGGCCCTGTGCCTCCACCTTCGGCCCTGTGCCTCCACCTTCGGCCCTGTGCCTCCACCTTCGGCCCTGTGCCTCCACCTTCGGCCCTGTGCCTCCACCTTCGGCCCTGTGCCTCCACCTTCGGCCCTGTGCCTCCACCTTCGGCCCTGTGCCTCCACCTTCGGCCCTGTGCCTCCACCTTCGGCCCTGTGCCTCCACCTTCGGCCCTGTGCCTCCACCTTCGGCCCTGTGCCTCCACCTTCGGCCCTGTGCCTCCACCTTCGGCCCTGTGCCTCCACCTTAAGCCTTGTACCTCGACCTTCGGCCCTGGGCCTCCACCTTCGGCCCTGTGCCTCCACCTTCGTGGTCGTTAGTGTGAGGGGCAACAAAACAACTCACTCCCCTGAGCCTACAGTTCATTCTGGCAATGTTATTTTACATATATGGCAATGTTATTTTACTTTTATGGTTATGTTATTTTATCTGTATTGTTATGTTACTTTATCAGTATCACTATTTTACTTTATCACACACAAAAAAATGCCGGACTATGTTAGTTTACCTGTATGACACTGTCAATTGTGACCACCCTGTTATCACCTTGGGGCAGCACAATTCTCAGGACGTATGGGACGCTTGGTGAGGTGATGTACAGGAGGCCTTCGTTTTCAGCAGCTTCAGAAATAGAGTTGATAACCATACCTGGAATAGAGACATGCGATGGGCTGAAGTTGAATCGAGTTTCTTATTGGCGTCCGAGTTGACCATTGGCGTCCGAGTTTACCATTGGCACCCGATTTTACCATTAGCACCCGCATTGGCACCCGAAGTTACCATTGGCAACCGAGTTGGCCATTGGCGCTGAGTCTAACACTGCATTTATAACTGAAATTACGTATTAGAAGGTATTTAGAAGTGTGTGTGTGTGGGGGGGGGGAACAACTAAGGTCACACAGCTGAACATGATCTTAATAAATATCTTTCACGGTTAAAGGTGATTGTTAGGGAGAAAGGTTAAGTTTCATTTGGTCTTGTAGATCAGACCTGCACAACATACGGCCCACGGCAGCCCGCCAACACCCACCGCGAAGTGACGAAATAGCTTTCGCCGCTGTCCTATTATCTTTCGCCCCGCTGTCCTATTATCTTTCGGCCCGCTGTCCTATTATCTTTCGGCCCGCTGTCCTATTATCTTTTTCATAAAGTTTTACGGCCCGCTTCATCTTTTGAGTTGTTCAGGCTTGTTGCAGATACGATCTATCTGCCTGGTTTGGTTTGTTGGTTGGTTGGTGGATTTTTCTTCAGCGTGTAGAAAAATTTTATAAACAGAGGGCCACGTTAAAAAAAAACTTATATTGAGACCAAAAATTGTTGGTCAAAGTTAAACCACCTTATAATAGACCATGCTGCTTCATTCCTCACACCCCCCCCCCCTTTTTTTCCCCGATCTCGGATATGCCACTAAGACTGAGTACAAATCAAAGTTATCAACAGCGCCCTCCATAAACAAATGTTTTATCACGTAGGTAAGGTCAAGGTGACTTCTGAAAGTCCACCGTCAATCCACATCAGCTGGATAGTTTCTTGCCCATTTAAACGTCAACTCGTTTGTAGTTTCCTGTCAGTGGCAAGGTTTGTGCTGAGTGGGCAACGGTTTCATTGACCGAATTTCACATGTTCGTTTCCATCTACAAGTTATCCCTTAAAGTGACGACAACAAAGTCGATCTCAACTCAATGGTTACACTTTTTTTACACTTTGTTTACACTTGGTTTACACTTTGTTTACACTTGGTTTACATTTTGTTGTCTTCCCTGCAGGGATTTGAACAAGTTTATACTTTACTAAAAACTACAAGAACTCCTGGCAGTGGCGTAGGAAAGGGGATGGATGGAGGAGTGGTGGGGGGGTCCACACAATGGGGCACTTTTTTTCTTTCTATGAAGAGAAGACACTTTCGGGCAACTTTTGTGGTGGAAAGGGGGGGGGGGCAAAAATATTGGTCCGCCCCGGGTGGCACTAACCTCAGCTTTGCCACCGACTCCTACTTATGGCCACCGACTCCTACTTATGGACACTGACTCCTACTTATGGCCACCGACTCCTACTTATGGCCACTGACTCCTACTTATGGCCATTGACTCCTACTTATGGACACTGGCTCCTACTTATGGACACTGACTCCTACATATAAAGACTGACTCCTACTTATGGACACTAACTCCTTCTTATAGATTTAGATTATCAATTTATATTAATTTTATTTTTATATTTCTTGTGATCGTGGGGTATAGTCCATTTTAAATAGACTATTTTTTCTGAAATTCCAAAATTGAAATTTGAAATTCGTAGAGACCAATCTCTCCTTCCATCTGACACAAAAGTCAGTGAACCTGGACCGTGCAATACAACCGCGAGCTGGTGTCTGCTCACTGAATCATACGTTGATAGGTATAGGTTAGTTATTAAATCATTTGGCATTGTTATTGGACCATATTTATTATTTTTCTATGTCTAAAAGTACTATAAAAAGTGCTATTCTGGGGGAGACAGCTGGCAGACAGGAAACAAAAAGATTGTCATGACTGTCAGAAGCTCAGTGGGACACACAGGTGGATGACACAGGTCAACGGTCAATTTCAAGGGGCCACTCACCTGTGGGGTCATGGAGACTTCCTATCGGTTTTCCCGTTGCATCCAACTCAACAATCATGCCATACCTCAGGTAATAGGACCTGATAGTGTTCTGGTCCACGGACTGAAACAGATTTGAACAGAAACAACCAAATTAAACCTAGACGTGCGATATTTAATGTATGATATCAGATTATAAATAGAAGTACAATATAATATATGATATCTATTTTCTTCAAGTAACTGTTGTTTAAGAAAGCTCTTTTTTTTTATTTAATGAATTTCCATATAGGCATGAAGATATTTTTAATATCTCCATGTATCTTACATGAAACTTCTCTCATATCTTTTTAATTAAACATTCAAGGTCTGGGAAAATTTGTGATATTAAATCACCGTTTGCGCTTTTTCTATACAATTTTAAAAATATTTATTTTGCTCGAACATAGTCTCCAGCAATCTTATTTTACCCAACTTTTCTCTCCACCCACGGTGTGCATAAAAATATTTGGAAATACTGTAAAGGTTATATTTAAAATGTTCAAGTTTTGCTATTTCCGAACCAAGCGGGCACTAGCATGTTCTCATCCAGGAAACAATGGACTTACATAGACGGTTCTCTGCCTGGCCGATGGATTGTTGGAGTACGTGTCCATGGAGCTGGGAACCCCGGCGTGGCGCACGAAAGAAAGTCCCACCCAATAGGTTCCCCGGGAAGACCGGCGAATGTTCCCTGGAACACCGGGCAGATTTTCTGAGAACATCGTTTGTTGGCGGAACGTCGCCGGAGCCAAACTTATACTGGGGAACATAGGCCAAAACTTATACTGGGGAACATAGGCCAAAACTTATACTGGGGAACATAGGCCAAAACTTATACTGGGGAACATAGGCCAAACTTATACTGTGGAACATCGGCCAAACGTATACTAGGGAACATAGACCAAACTTACACTGGGTAACATAGGTCAAACTTACACTGGGGAACATAGGCCAAACTTAAACTGGGGAACATAGGCCAAACTTATACTGGGAACATAGGCCAAACTTATACTGGGGAACATCGGCCAAACTTATACTAGGGAACATAGGTCAAACTTACACTGGGGAACATAGGCCAAACTTAAACTGGGGAACATAGGCCAAACTTATACTGGGAACATAGGCCAAACTTATACCGGGGAACATCGGCCAAACTTATAGTAGGGAATATAGGTCAAACTTACACTGGGGAACATAGGCCAAACTTAAACTGGGGAACATAGGCCAAACTTAAACTGGGGAACTTAGGCCAAACTTATACTGGGGAACATAGGTCAAATTTATACTGGAAAACATAGGTCAAACTTATACTGGGGAACACAGACCAACGTTTTTGTTAAACTAACTTTTAAATAATAAAACATTCATAGTCTATAATATCTGACGAATAGCCAAGCTTATGTTGTTTGTTTTTAATATAGAAGTGTATACAAAAAAAAAATTAGTACATTTACAAATGCTAATTTCATTTTAAGTATTTCAACTTTTTAATGTTTCCAATCGTAACTACTGAACTACTGAAACTCTTTATTGGGAAAAAAAATAATAATATGTTCCTGTACGAAACAGAAGAGTTTCTTTTCTTATTATAATATATTATATATAAACATATATACATATATATATATATATATACGTATGTTACATATATAACATAAGCAGGACTTAACATAAACTTTAAGACAGTTAATGAAAGTAAAAAAAAAACAACAACAAAACCCTTTCTTTATCTATTGCTCAAAGACAAGCTTTGATAGCTAGGGAAGGTGGGCAAACACACATGTATTGTGGTGGCTATGTACTTGCGTTTTGATGATAACTATGGTCAGAGTTTTCAAAAAAAGAAAGAAAAAAAAATCAAATGATAACATTACCTTATTCGTGTGTTTCTGGTAAATCCACAGAGATCGGAAGAAAACTCTTGCACAACTTGTTTTATTGCCCGAGAAATATTCGCACAGTAACAGCGTGCCTGTAAACATAAACCGAACAGTAACTTGTGCTGTGATAAACCGACTAANTGTTTTTTTAAAAAATATTTTTTTTTTTTAAAAAAGCTAGCCTGAATCGCGATGAAAAAGTAAAAAAAAAAAAATCAGCTTTATACAGTATATCATTTTTTTTTTTTAAATGTTTCTCTGGGTTTGAAAAGCAAAAGTTCATCTTTGCCTTTGTGTAACAATGTAGGCATGTCTTCTTGCCTGGCAAACGCACCACACAAAATTGCCGTATACCTGCCACTCGGTCTCCCCTCCATCAGTGCATAAATATCGTTAGCAGCGTCATACTTGTCGCTGGAGTCACTCAGGACGATTGCTCCGTCTGGCGTCAGAACCAAACCGTTGAGGAATCTCGGTGTCCGTCCCCCTACAGGTGTGGTGGACGCGTAGAGCTGCTCAACGGCCCCTAAATGATGCACAAATTAGGGCATGTTTGAGATGACATGTACAACGGGCATGGGATCAATAAGGATAACTAATTTATTCAGGATACAGTTATCGCATGATAAACGGTAACGCCAAATGTTGTTGTTTCAATTAATTTTAATTAATAAGGAGCACATTCATAATAAAAGCAGCACATTCATAATATAGGCAGCACATTCATAAAATAAGGAGTACATTCATAAAATTAGGAGCACGTACATAAAATTAGTAGCACATTCATAAAATTAGGAGCACATTCATAAAATTAGGAGCACATTCATAAAATTAGGAGCACATACATAATATTAGTAGCATATTCATGATATAAGGAGCACATTCATAAAATTAGTAGCACATTCATAAAATTAGGAGCACATTCATAAAATTAGGAATAAAATTAGTAGCACATTCATAAAATTAGTAGCACATTCTGTAACGGACAATGTTTTCACATGAAAACAGAGAGGTAGCATGAGTGAACAATGAATGGTGTTGACCATGTTTTTGTCCACGAGGACAATGAATTGTATTTTGAGATACAAATGTGAGCTCCACGTTTTTGGAGAGTAAAATTATGTTTTTGTCAGAGCGGTTGTTTTGCACGCTTTGCTGGTAATAAAGTATGAGTTGACTGAGATAGTGAGAGCTGAGCGCAGAGCAGTAGAGTCAGTAGCGTGAGAGCTGTGTGATTAGAGAGTTGAGCTGAGTTGACAGTTTAGTATGAGGACTTGTCTTTCTTAATGATGGAATACTATAGATATATATGTGAAATTACATTCATGCAAGGATTATTTATTAATATTATCAATATAAAGTGTGTTCAATAAAGTACTGTAAGTTTAACCAGGATTCAGTATTCTTATTTGCGTGCCCGGATTATAAGTGGAAGAATGAAGAAGCCTTAGTCGGCATCCTGAAATATCAACATAACATAAGTAACCATACTACTGACATAACCCACAGCATAAGAAATAAGATCCCACGCCATGTCAGAGTAGTTGTGTTACACATTCATAAAATTAGTAGCACATTCATAAAATTTGGAGCACGTTCTGAATTTTTAAAACTGGAAACGTTTAGACGCGTTTCCATGCACCTGTTTCTGATGCTCTCTGACGTCATCGATATACAATGAATTATTTTCATGGGCGCTTTTTACAATTTTTTATTTTCATTGCAACGGTCTCATTCAGCCACATTCGGATCTCAGCAATCAGCCGTTACTAGAATGACCACGCTCACTCATCCGTAACTGGATTGACCCCGATCACTCAACTGTAACTGGATTGACCCCGATCACTCAACTGTAACTGGATTGAACCCGAACACTTATCTGTAACTGGATTGACCCCGATCACTCATCTGTGCCTGGATTGACCCCGATCACTCATCTGTAACTGGATTGATCCCGATCACTGAACTGTTACTGGATTGACCTGATCACTCTCCTGCGTTATGATTTTTACATTTTCTGAGCTGCGTGGCCCTTGCTTTACTCTTCTTATGGAATGAATTGAGTTATATTAGTTAGCCTTGATTTGATTGACCCCGATCACTCACCTGTAAGTGGATTGACCCCGATCACTCACCTGTAAGTGGATTGACCCCGATCAACTCACCTGGAAGTGGATTAACCCCGATCAACTCACCTGGAAGTGGATTAACCCCGATCAACTCACCTGTGAGTTGATTAACCCCGATCAACTCCCCTGTGAGTGGATTAACCCCGATCAACTCCCCTGTGAGTGGATTAACCCCGATCAACTCACCTGGAAGTGGATTAACCCCGATCAACTCCCCTGTGAGTGGATTAACCCCGATCAACTCACCTGTGAGTGGGTTAACCCCGATCAACTCACCTGTGAGTGGATTAACCCCGATCAACTCACCTGTGAGTGGATTAACCCCGATCAACTCACCTGGAAGTGGATTAACCCCGATCAACTCACCTGTGAGTGGATTGACCCTGAACACACCCCTGTACGCGTCCACAACCACCAAAAGACCGTTGTTGTCCACTTTGATGTCCATCAGAACACCACACTGGGCGGGGGTTGCTAAGGAGAGAAGTTAAATGCTTTCAACTGAATGACCCTTAGATTTTATGCCACAGTCACGGTGGATAGAAGAAAAAAAAAACACAGACTAAACGAATGAAGGAATGACGTCATAATGTATCCTGTTTATCTTCTATATTTTCTTTTTTTTTTAAATAAAGCTTTATTTTCTACAACTGAGTTACTCAGTGCTATCCCAATAGTTGTTAGCTAAGTACATAAATGGAAGAAACATTTAATTTTTTTAACAACTTTTTTTCCCCCCGTGTCTTGTGCTAATTTATATTCTTTTAAAAAAGGAAGATTTCAACATTCCAAGTGTATGTAACAGCTTCAATCATTCATAGATTTTCCCCCAACGTAAAAATGAAAAATGAAATGGTTCTCAAAAGGTACGTACAGCATCCAGGTGGGGAGAGGTTGGCTACAATTTTTGGCACACACGTGGCGATGTTCACAATTTTTCTGTCCGCTGTCAACGTGTACACATTTCCTGGGTGAGAAAGAAAGCCTCTAATACAATATGCGTACCGTACCCATACTTCAACGTTTAAATCATGTTCGGTACTATTATGTGTAAATATGTACATGGTCATTGTACTCAATTGCTATTCCTTCTTCCCAACTTGACCGTTCAATTTAAATTGGAACTGGGCACAAGCTTAGCGCCTCGTATGTGCTGTGTAAATTAAAAGAGTGTCCATATGAACTTTTTATGGGCTGTGTAAATTGAAAGTGTTAATATGAACTTGGTTTGGGCTGTGTTAATAGAAGCATTGTAAACATGAACTTTTTATGGGTCGTGTAAATTGAAACAGTGTAAAAATGAACATTGTGTGGACTGTGTAAATTGAAACAGTGTAAAGATGAACATTGTGTGGACTGTGTAAATTGAAACAGTGTAAAGATGAACATTGTGTGGTCTGTGTAAATTGAAACAGTGTAAAGATGAACATTGTGTGGACTGTGCAAATTGAAACAGTGTAAAGATGAACATTGTGTGGACTGTGTAAATTGAAACGGTGTAAATGAACACGTTTGCTCCTAAAAATGAAATTTCAGGAGCTAAATACCCGATGGCTCCGATAGATGTCAGCTCACAGCCATTATCACAAACAGCTGATCTTATTCCAAGTTTTCAAAGTGGCCTAAAATGGAGTTGGTTTGCCTTTAAAAATATGCCATTGATAAAAAAAAATTATTTGCCACTGCTGAAAGTGTGTTCCATGTTACTCAAGAGTTAGATGTGTTCAAAGGAATGTTGATAATATCGTTGCCGAAGAAATGTTTCAAACAAGCTGGAGACCTGTTCGCCAGAAATACTTCTCAAACGAAATATTTTTAAAAATCTCAACCCCAATTCTTAGATAACAAAACAGCTTTAGCTTTTGTAAAATAATTTAATTTCACAAGATTGAATTGACTTAAATTTCAAAGCTTGTTTTCAGCGCCTTCTTGATAAACATAATAAGTATTTTATATTCACATATTCGTTAATTTCATATTGACAAATAAATTATTGAATTGAACCTTTGAAAAATGTTTTAACAATGTTGAGATGATGTCATGCTCGGGGGAGGGGGGGGGTTTGTGGGTGGAGGTGGCGGACAGAATCGCAGTAAATATTTAGTTCTATAAACAAAGTATTTAAAAATGTGTGTCGTTAGCTGACAATCAAAATAACGTGACAATTGTTCCCTAACTTAAAGAAACAAAGAAGAAGCAGATTACCATTACATAATTGAATACAACCCATCATCTTTGCGAGCCCGTAGTTTCCACAATTTGTAAATAAGTAAATGTATCAAGTTTTTCATCCATTACTTAATGTAAATTTAAAACAAATCAGACCCATTACAGTGGCCTTAAAAGATGTCGTAATTTGTCCACCACACATCCCTAGGATGACTCGGTGTTTTTAGTCTTACACCGCAGTAGTCAATGAAACAATGAAATCACATCAGAAGATGTGAGCTAGCGTCGTACAAATACCTTTAAATTATTCGTTGTTTTCACGGTCTAAATACAGATATATTTTCCCGACCTTCGCAAATAAACAACATAATAACAAATTCATGCCGGTGGTTGGTGACGAGTTAGCGCTTTTGAACAAACAAGGAGGTCGACCTACAGGTGCGTGGCTTTCTTTTGTCACAACAGAATGCTACATTGCCCTGCCCTGTTGGTCGCCTCGCAGTACCAGGTTACCAATCATCAGGTAGTTCAATTATTTTATTTACACCTCGATTTTAAATTAACAGCTAACCCCAATTTTACCCAATCCCCCAGCCCCCTCCCCCTTTTTTTTAACACCACGATATTAAACTGCATTCTGTCACAACAATAGGTTACGTACGCTTTCGGCTGCGTGCCACCAATCGGTAATTCAATCAGTCATTCCACCGAAAATTCAGTCAAACATGGCATCATTAAAGCAACTATTTCATTAGACATACATCCATTCAATTACTGCATCAACTATAGCATCATTCTTTCAATCCTTTAATCAACTACTGCATCAATATTGCATGTAAGAAATGGTATTGAATACTTAATGAAATATGTTTGTAAAACTCTTTGAACTACAAAACTATTCAGTTGACCTGTAGTTCCACCAAAGTATGGCAGATGATAATGATGAGAGAAATAAAGTCTGTGCGTCAAGTATAAACTTTCTGGGCTGTGTGAAAGTATAAGTTAAAAAGGACCTTTTTGAAAAGTTTAGACTTCAAACAGATAAGCCATATGTCAAAAAGCCATATGTCAATAAGCCATATGTAAATTTGCTAATGCCAAGTAATTTAAAAACAAGCTGCGAGCACAAAGCGCTCAGCTATAGACACGCCCCAGCACCCTCGGCTATTGACACGCCCCAGCATCCTCGGCTATTGACACGCCCCAGCACCCTCGGCTATTGACACGCCCCAGCACCCTCGGCTATTGACACGCCCCAGCCCATCCTTTTCCGCGAGACGGCAGACAATCCACTACGACAGGCCCGCACAGCGTACGGCCCGCCAGAACCCTCTTTGCGGTCCGTAAAGTAACGAACCTACAACATTTTTTTTATTATTATTATTATTTCCTTACTAGCCCCCCCCCCCCCTCCTTTTTTCCGGTCCTATTTTCTTTCGTCCCGCACAAGTTCTCCATAAGGTATTACGGCCCGCCATAAATGTTGAGTTGTGCAGGCCTGCACTTCGAGCATGATTAAAATACGCCACTAAGAGCAAACATCACCAACAACAATATTACACGCTTGGTGATTAAAGACACATCATTTCTTGATGAGATCATTTTTTGGGGTGATGCTAGTCAACGTCTGTGTCTTTTTTTTTCATTTTCAGCCTGTTGACATGACAAATTCTTCATGAAACTGTACATTGTATATATGGTATAAAACACCGTGCTGTTATGTTGCTATGTTACTGTCATGTTCTGGTAGCATTCATCGTCTTCGTCTGATTTGCGAGCAGAAATGTCTAGCATACACCTGCCCCGTCACCAAACTCCCAGATTATGGACCTAAAATGCTCTTTACTCAAATAATGCCTACTTTTTCTTTATTCAAGTATGGCCTACATTTTGTTTACTCAAATATAGCCTTAATTTTTTAAAGCTGAAAAACAGCTTACATTTTGTTTACTAAATATAGCCTTATTTTTTTAAAGCTGAAAAACAGCTTACATTTTGTTTACTCAAATATAGCCTTAATTTTTTAAAGCTGAAAAACAGCTTACATTTTGTTTACTAAATATAGCCTTATTTTTTTAAAGCTGAAAAACAGCTTACATTTTGTTTACTCAAATATAGCCTTAATTTTTTAAAGCTGAAAAACAGCTTACATTTTGTTTACTCAAATATAGCCTTAATTTTTTAAAGCTGAAAAACAGCTTACATTTTGTTTACTCAAATATAGCCTTAATTTTTTAAAGCTGAAAAACAGCTTACATTTTGTTTACTAAATATAGCCTACAATTTGTTTACTTAAAGATAGCTTACCTTTTTTTTTTCTCTAAAAATAGTCCACAATTTGTTTTAGTTGAAGTCCTAAAAACCTATTATTTACGAACATTAAAATTATATGCTGTAAAATAATGTATACCCCAAGTAGCGGAGAATGAGAGAAATTACAACTACAATATAGATCTACTGTTAGGCTGAATAGGAAGAAGCCATCTTGTTCGGAAACAGACGGAAGTCTCTGTACTCAGCTCTCACCTGTAGTTCCGAGAAGCTGTAACATGCACAGTGACCACAACCCAGACAACGATTCCAGGTTGAGGGTAACCGAAAGGCATAGAACTTTCGGAAAAAAGGGGTTGTCCCCTATAGCATGTAAAGCCTAAATCCGGCAAATTGTGCGGAAGAACCACTACTTGGTCAACGGACAAAAGGCGGAGACAGCACCGTGGTGTGAATCGCTGAGAGCATGGCCAGATACGTAGAACGCCATGGTCATTCACTGCATGGGTGACTGGGTGGCCGAATGGTCTAAAACATCACCCCGGGTGGATGAGACTAGTTAACCTTGGTCGGCAACTCATCTAAGAGAAGGAAACTCTGAATTCAAACCCGGAGTTGGAGTCCAGTAACGCGCAATGACAATTCCTGCAACCGTACCCATCCCTGGTCGTCTTGACGTAGAGTCTTGCCACTGGATATGGTGGGCCCGGACGAGAGAGTGAGGTTGACGCCGCGCAACTCTTCCTCACTTTAAACAAAAGGCACTAGCGCAAGTCATCAGTCACCGGACGACTAGATGGTCATCGTCGATCCTCGACGGACGAACAACAACCCCAAGTAACGAGATATTAGAAACACCATGACAGTTAGTGACTTGTGTACAGTTCAAGAACCTCTGGTTCGTGTATTCACATTTGTTGTCACTAAATCAACTGACAGGGGGCATAACTACGCCTTGGAAATTCCTTCACGTTTCATTTACGGCACTTTTTACGAGGCTTAAATAAGTTTTATGAGTGACCTCTCACCTCAATGTAGCATGCTTAACTCTTTTATGGTGGACACATGACCTACAAACATAGACACGGTGTCTTGCGACTTGTGACGACATATTCCAGGTGATCCCCGTCATACTATCACATGATTTAGCGGGTGTTAAGCAATAGTTTTTTTAGGAGTAGAATTTTCCGCCCCAGTAAATTATTGTTCGTCTATTTTGTCTATAATATTACGTGTAATTTACGTAGGCAAAACTTTTGAAGCTTTTTTTATGAATTCATTTATGTGTGTGTGTGCGTGTGCGTGCGTGCATGCATGTGTGTGTGTGCGTGCGTGCGTGCGTGCCTGAAGCTAAAATATTCCGGTCAAACGCATGACTTCCCACGCAACGGAAGTTGCGCGCTAACATGATGACGTGTCACCGATAATGAATATGAGGCTTGGGTTTCTTTAAAAAAAACCTCGCTGAGGATTAAAAACATGCGGCCTTGAGAAAGCCGCTCCTAGGTGACCGTTTCGTCCCGACACAGTCCCGACCGAACCACTCCCCGAACGGTGGGGTGAGGTAACGCAACACCTCCCCAGAGAGGAAGCAAAGCCGTTCTGACCCACGTTCACACAACTCCCAGGAACGGTGGGAGAAAGCTAAGCTCGAGACTACTCCCGGAGTGGAGGTAAAGCCGTGCCACACCAAGGAACGTACGGCTCCCTGGGCGGTGGGGGAGGCAACGCAACACCATCCCCGGAGAGGAAGCAAAGCCGTTCCCGCCCAACGTCCAGACCGCAAGACTCATTGGGCAAGGGGGGTTGTGACGCAAAGCTGTCCCCTCATGAGTGGAAGCAAACTGCCCAGCACTCCTTTTACTCGAGACCGTGTTGCATGGCCGGAGTCCCCAGGGACTACTAGGACATGTTTCATGGCCGAGGTCCTAAGAGATAGAATCTCGACCTCCTAGAGTATTGAACTTTATTAGTGAAAGCTCGAAGTTTCTTTGATGGAATAACCGTGCGTGCCAAAACTGATGATTTATTTTCCCCTTCATTTAAGTAAAATTAATAACTGTAATTGATCAATAAAACACACAAACTTTAGCTTTGTACTTTTAGCATTTAATGAGTTTTTTACTTTTTTTTTCCATTCCAAAAATAGACTTTTATTAAATCTATAAAGTAATAAAAGCGTAACCTTGAAACTTACTTTTAATAAGAAAATACCGTCTAGGTCAATCAGTGCAGCAAAACTCCATAGCCAAATAGCATTGACTAATCCACTTATCACTCATCCATATAAGAACAAACCATATGGAGTGCTAAACAAAACGTGTGTTTGCGTACGTAGAGGACTACAATCCCGTGGATGACCTTTTAAAAAACGTATTAAAATCTAAGTGGGGGAAAGGGGGGGGGGGTTCGATACTTACATTTAGCCCCAGGTAGCACAAGATACGCCTCAGAATAAAGGAATGAATTTGATAAATAATTAACCTTCTTAGTTACATACATATCGGGGGTAGGAAATAGGATGTGTACATTTTTACGATGATGACAATATCTTTAAATTCAATGATATTACAGTTGTGAAAAAGAGATGTTACATTCTCTTTTTACAAATAAACATATGTTTGGCCATAAGAAAATCAATGGCGTTAACAACACGTACATTTACGTATGTTTACCCATGAATGTCAAAACCCAATCATTTTAAACACGAGAAAGTTTAATTTTGAAAATTGGAGATGAGCTAAGATTTTCTTTCAAAAAATGAAAATATGTGTTTGTTTTTACTTTGCGAAAAGTAAAATGGGTGTATATTGTTATGAGATTGATAACATTTCTGTAAAAAATTATACTCAAATGCCAGAATGCTTTTCTTAGACTTCTCATCAGCATTTAACACTGTCCAATCACAGCTTATGATAAAGAAACTTTCCTCGTTAGGGGTCAATTTAAATATTCAGGAATGGATACTGAACTTTTTAACAAATCGACCACAATATGTCAAAGTAAATAACCAATTATCTCTAACCAGAGAAATAAGCACCGGGCACCACAAGGCTGTGTTCTCTCCCCTCTACTGCATACAATATACACCAATGATATTCAAAGTTCAAGCGACACCGTTCCAATCTTAAAATTTGCTGATGATATCACAATTATTGGCTTAATGTCTGAAGGAGAAGGCCTATACCGCAATTTAGTTACAAGCTTTATCAATTAGTGCGATGAAAATTTTCTCCAGCTGAATGTCTCAAAAACAAAGGAAATGGTTGTTGATTTCAGGAGGGGGAAACACCTGATTACAGATCTCAACATAAAAAATCAAAGAGTAGAGACAGTGGAAGCATACAAGTACTTAGGTGTCACCATTAATAATAAGCTAACATGGCATGAGCAAGGCCAAATCCTGTATAAGGAATTCAACTTAAGACTGTTCTACCTCAAAAAACTGTACAATTTCGGCGTAAACAAGCAAGTCGTTAACTTATTCTACAGTGCAACAATTGCAAGCCTGCTTAATTTCAGTATTACCTGCTGGTGTGGGAATTCAACGTCTGATATTAAACACCGCATAAACCGACTAATCAAGAAAGCTAGGAACATAACACAAACTAAACATCCTTCACTTGAAGAACTATTTGAAGAAAGATGTTTTTGTAAAACTAAACACATTTTGGATGATACATCCCATTCTCTTCGTCACAGTTAGGATCGGGCTGTTCGGGACGAATTCTTTCCATCAGGGCAAGGACTGGCAGATATAAAAATTCTTTTGTTCCCCAATCTGTTCGAATTCACCAGCGTGCTCCCTCTGAAGTCACACATCTTAATGAGAACTAATAAGTCCCCGATTTGGCTAAGAGAACTCACTGAATGGCTGTTTGAAATAATTGATTATAAATTTCTTGTGTTCAAATTGTTTTACTGATATGCTGAAAATGTATAATCCAATCATAAAACATTTCCATTTGTTTTGATCAATGAAAGAATCTTGTCTTATCCTATCAAGGCGCTCACAAACGAGAAATACGGTTACGGGATTCTTCTTTAGATAAAAGAATTCTTTGTTTTACAATTTTCCGATAATATAGTAAAAAAAAAAAAAAAGGCAAATGCTTGGTTAAATTTTTAATGAAGATATCAGTATAATTTAATTTCAGATTTAACGACAAAATCATACAAAAAAAAAAAAGGCAAATGCTTGGTTAAATTTTTAATGAAGATATCAGTATATCATATTCCATTAATATCAAATTTAGTTTAAATGGTAATATATAGTTTTTGTTGTAAATTTAAGATTAAGTTTTCACCATTTATAGAGGGGGGGGGGAAATAGTTTAGGGGCAAGAAAAGTGGTAGGTTGGGCCCAACATTTAAAATTTTAAAAACACATGACATCTGAAGTATTTCGCAAGCGTAGAAATCACCCATCCAAGAACTCCTTTGGTGACAAAAATAGTTCAATTAGTGATCATTTCAATGTGGTAATCTAAGGTCATATTTAAACAAAAACAAATGGAGTTTAGGGGCGCGAAAAGGGGTAGGACAGGCGAATAATAAATAGAAAATACTTCTAAAACTTTTAATGATGTTAGAAACGTAAACATCATTACATAGATACTTTTTTTTTTTTTTAAATACGGAATTGTGATGAGTTTTCGCAATATCAAGTGGAAATTAGCCTAAAGTGTCTGCCATTATTATCCCGATAACATCGGGTGATTTATTCTAGTGATTTAATTTCCTTGAATGGGCGAACAAAACAGATCGCTTAAAGAATTCCACCTCCATTTAAACAAAGATTCGTCTTAACATCCAACTTTTGGTATGTGGGCCAATAATAATGTTAGAATAGTCTTTATATTATAATATATTCAAGTCTCAAACAAGTGTGCGTTTTAACCAATAAAGAAATTTTACAAGACTATATAATTCGCACGAGGGTGCAGGTTAGAGAAAATGTTGAGAAGCACCGCTCTTATTTAGTTATAAATGCCTCGTTAATTAGGCATTCATTTAGAGTTGCGCTATATCTCTTTAATCAGGCATTCATGTTTAGAGTTACGCTACATCTCTTTAATCAGGCATTCATGTTTAGGGTTAGGCTACATCTCTTTAATCAGGCATTCATGTTTAGAGTTACGCTATATCTCTTTGATCAGGCATTCATGTTAAGGGTTACGTTATATCTCTTTAATCAGGCATTCATGTTTAGAGTTACGCCACATGTCTTTAATCAGGCATTCATGTTTAGAGTTACGCTATATCTCTTTAATCAGGCATTCATGTTCAGAGTTACGTTATATCTCTTTAATCAGGCATTCATGTTTAGAGTTACGCTATATCTCTTTAATTATGCATTCATGTTTAGAGTTACGTTATATCTCCTTAATCAGGCATTCATGTTTAGAGTTACTCTATATCTCTTTAATTATGCATTCATGTTTAGAGTTACGTTATATCTCTTTAATTATGCATTCATGTTCAGAGTTACGCTATATCTCTTTAATTATGCATTCATGTTCAGAGTTACGCTACATCTCTTTAATCAGGCATTCATGTTTAGAGTTACGCTATATCTCTTTAATTATGCATTCATGTTTAGAGTTACGTTATATCTCTTTAATTATGCATTCATGTTCAGAGTTACGCTATATCTCTTTAATTATGCATTCATGTTTAGAGTTACGCTATATCTCTTTAATTATGCATTCATGTTCAGAGTTACGCTATATCTCTTTAATTATGCATTCATGTTTAGAGTTGCACTATATCTCTTTAATTATGCATTCATGTTTAGAGTTACGCTATATCTCTTTAATTATGCATTCATGTTCAGAGTTACGCTATATCTCTTTAATCAGGCATTCATGTTTATAGTTACGCTATATCTCTTTAATCAGGCATTCATGTTTAGAGTTACGCTATATCTCTTTAATTATGCATTCATGTTTAGAGTTACGCTATATCTCTTTAATTATGCATTCATGTTCAGAGTTACGCTACATCTCTTTAATCAGGCATTCATGTTCAGAGTTACGCTACATCTCTTTAAGTATGCATTCATGTTCAGAGTTACGCTACATCTCTTTAATTATGCATTCATGTTCAGAGTTACGCTACATCTCTTTAATCAGGCATTCATGTTCAGAGTTACGCTACATCTCTTTAATTATGCATTCATGTTCAGAGTTACGCTACATCTCTTTAATCAGGCATTCATGTTTAGAGTTGCGTTATATCTCTTTAATTATGCATTCATGTTTAGAGTTGCGCTATATCTCTTTAATTATGCATTCATGTTCAGAGTTGTGGTTTATATTTTCTTTGTTGTTTACACAGTAGACTACAAATAAGCAGGAAGGTGACGTAGACGTGTTCACCTGTTAGCGACACAACAAGTGTCCAAACAACAAAGAGGTGAGGAAATAACCGCATAAACAGGAGATAAGCCAAGACAATATTAATAGGACACATCAGGAAATGATAAGTAGGTGCAGGTCTTTTTGAATATGGTCTTATAATGCCCTATTTGTATGGCTGTGCCTTATAATGTTCCTCTTTGTATAGTAATTTCCATGTAGTATTTTTTTGTGTGGCCGTGGCTGCCTAATTTCCTCTTTTTGTATAGCAATTTCTTTGTAATGTTTTTTTGGTATATTTTTTTAGTCATTTATTGTTTCATTTATTGGAAAGTAATGTAAGTGATTGTAGCACGAGACCACGTGATATTGACTCTGTATTCATTCTCCCCAACCCCCAACCCTCCCCGGGGGGGGGGGGGGGTTCTTGAGGTTGAATTAGACTTGTTGTGTTAAGTTAATTTGTTTGCTCACAACTACGCCTGAGATCAACCAACTAGTTGAGACTCGTGGAAGATAACAAGGGGGGAAAGGGGCATAAACAACATGTGACGTAAACAGATTAAAAACATGGAAGCCAATTAGCAAACACTTAAGTATCAACAAAACAATCCAACATTTCGGTTGACGCAGCCTTGTTTGGCCGAGTCCCATTAGAGTGTAAGAAGAGTTAGTGGACTTCGGCGTAGTAAGATTTTAAAAATGATTTATAGTTGACGACAGAAGACATGACTGTTGGGGTCTCTTAACATTGACTAATAAATTAAACAATCAGAGGCGTAGCAAGGATTTTCTCAAGAAAGAAAAAGGTGTGTGTGTGGGGGGGGGTTGACGACCGAGCCATGACTGCAGGCGACCAGTTGGGATGGAGACAATAAATGGAGTCGTCTGTTGATTCCCCCCCCCCCCAAACCGCCCAGAAACCTGTGTCCTAGTTTTTTATACTCTTTAGTGATGGAGTATAGTTATTTATAGCGGGCATGTACACATGTACGTGTACTTTGATGAATGTGTACACACAGAGGAAAAGAGGGGACATGAAGTCCCTATGTGTACACACAGAAGAAAAGAGGGGACATGAAGTTCTGTGGACTGGGGGGGGGGGGGCCTGGAGAAGGAAAGAGAGAACTGTCACTGGTGAAACAAAATGGCGTCGCCACCATGACGTCTCACCTGTCTACTTTATTCTGACAGCCAGGTGTTATTTATACCACACTTATTTAACATGGTGCGTTGCTTTGGAAAAACTGGGGGGGGGGGTAAAGAGAGTGAATGAGGGTTGGTTGCCCCCTAATTTAAATTACACAAAATACAATTGTTATATTTTGGGTCACGGTGCTATTTCTTAGAGATGAATAACTCGAGTTCAGAGGTCATTCATAGTGCCATGTGCACTATCAGACGCCTAGAGTCATGATTGATTTACACCGGGCGCAATGAGGAATGTAAAAAGTAGTGTGTTCAATATTCCGTCAAAAAACACACCCACACACATACACAAACACACACACACACACACACATACACAAAAACACACACATACAAACTCAAATACAAACTCACATACAAACCTCACATAATTAACATACACAAACATACAAAAACATGCAAAAACAGACTCACGCGCGCGTCCTTATATAAAATAGACTGACTCAGTTTCTGAGGCTGTATTTCGAACTATCACATTTAAAGTTACGTTTGATTTAAGTTTTTGCTGTGGCTTGTTTAAGTTGTATCACATGCGTGCATTTGTTCTCACTAGATCCATATCTCACCAGTTGTGCTACAGCAAACGTACATATTCTCACTAGATCCATATCTCATCAGTGGTGCTACAGCCCATGTACTGAGCAGTTTCTCACTAGATCCATTATATCATCAGTGGTGCTACAGCCCATGTACTGAGCAGTTTCTCACTAGATCCATTATATCATCAGTGGTGCTACAGCCCATGTACTGAGCAGGTTCTCACTAGATCCATTATATCATCAGTGGTGCTACAGCCCATGTACTAAGCAGTTTCTCACTAGATCCATTATATCATCAGTGGTGCTACAGCCCATGTACTGAGCAGGTTCTCATTAGATCCATTATATCATCAGTGGTGCTACAGCCCATGTACTAAGCAGTTTCTCATTAGATCCATTATATCATCAGTGGTGCTACAGCCCATGTACTGAGCAGTTTCTCATTAGATCCATTATATCATCAGTGGTGCTACAGCCCATGTACTAAGCCGTTTCTCATTAGATCCATTATATCATCAGTGGTGCTACAGCCCATGTACTGAGCAGTTTCTCATTAGATCCATTATATCATCAGTGGTGCTACAGCCCATGTACTAAGCCGTTTCTCATTAGATCCATTATATCATCAGTGGTGCTACAGCCCATGTACTGAGCAGTTTCTCATTAGATCCATTATATCATCAGTGGTGCTACAGCCCATGTACTAAGCCGTTTCTCATTAGATCCAAGTGGCTGTATTGCCAATGTACTCATCAGTATTTTCGTTTGTTCTATATTTCATCAGTGGTGCTACAGCCCATGTACTGAGCAGTTTCTCACTAGATCCATTATATCATCAGTGGTGCTACAGCCCATGTACTAAGCAGTTTCTCACTAGATCCATTATATCATCAGTGGTGCTACAGCCCATGTACTGAGCAGTTTCTCATTAGATCCATTATATCATCAGTGGTGCTACAGCCCATGTACTGAGCAGGTTCTCATTAGATCTATATACACAACTCCAAGAAATAAAGCGGTCCTGTTTGGAGACGCTCTATACTGAATCCTCCAAAATGCGACAAATTACGTTAAATCTTCTTTTTTTTTTTTTTTTTTATACTATATATTTAATTTTAATTATAAACTGATAAATGCTGACACAAGGTTGGCGCCATCAACACCTTCAAGTTTCCATTAGGACGAACCGTGTGGTCATGAAAAATCTTTTCAGTAAAAAAAAACAACCAAAAAAAATTGCCATAGCATTTCATGATGTCTTACCATTAAGAAAAGCAAATGACGTAGGTCCAGCGATCTTGCTCTGGTGAAGTCTTTCTGCATTATAGAGGGCGTAGTTGGGCGACAGTGCACCATCCAGCACGGGACGGAATGGTAATCTACAGGACAAAACAAGATAGCATTTAGAGAGAAAAATATTTTATTTTTTTTAATTTCAAAGAAAAAAAACAAAAACGGACATACTCCCCTCGTAAGCGTTGCTTTGTTTGAATCAAGTCAACTTATTCAAACGATTCTAACTACTAGAACAAGGTTTCTTTATCTTCTTTATTCAATGCACGCATGGCCAGTCAGATGAAGGCCATGGTCCCTTTTTTAGAGGCAAGTATCCCACGGGTTAAGAACCCCTGAACTAAAGAATTAAACTTTTTTTTGTGTGGATAACTAAAACTTTTTAAAAAATTGGATGGATGGGGATTGAATTGCCGCAACCATGTCGTTATCAGCTGCACTCATCTATTTTCACATTTAGTTGGCACTCAGTCGTTATCATAATTAGCTTATTATCATATTTGGCTCGCACTCAGCTGTTTTGCAATAAACTTTCAAATGATCAGCCACTTTCAATTTCCCAATGTCTTTCTTGCCATTGAGCACATTTGCTGCACTTTGATCTTAACATCATTCGAATATTCAAATATGTCAACAAGATGAAGATGTTATAATTTTATGCAACAAGTTAGTTGTAATTTTAATTTAGATTTGCCTATTTTCCTCAGTTGATTCGGCAGTTGTTTGACACGAGAGGCTCCCAACATCGTCAACAAATTTCTGTGGGTTTGATCAGCCGCCCCGAAATGCTCAGCGAAGTTTATTATTTGAAGAGGTCTGCTATAATGTCATTTACCATTTGCACCACTCTGTTCTTGTTACGCTTACTTTCACGCCACTCACCTACACCCTACAGGTGACACACTACGCTGTCGCGACAGCACTGCTCTAGTCTTAAGTGTCTTCACGCGATTGGACTTGAAGCAGGCCCGCACCTAGGAAATGATTGACCCCAGGATGCTGGCAGAGTTCAGGCCCCTTTCGTGTTTCAACTTTCAAACATGTGCGGTTTTTTTTTTAATTCGAAAAGGGCGGGTCCCTATCTAGCTCGGGGGTCCCTATCTAGCTCGGGGGTCCCTATCTAGCTCGGGGGTCCCTATCTAGCTCGGGGGTCCCTATCTAGCTGCGGGGTCCCTATCTAGCTCGGGGGTCCCTATCTAGCTCGGGGGTCCCTATCTAGCTCGGGGGTCCCTATCTAGCTCGGGGGTCCCTATCTAGCTCGGGGCCCTGACAGGTGCCATGGTTGTCCCCCCCCTCTCCCCTAGGTGCGGGCCTGCTTGAAGAGATAAAAACTGGAAAGAAACAGACTGAACAGTTGATTAACTTGCACCTCCGAAAATTGTGTTTTTTTCTAGTAAATACAACTCACAAGCTATGAATAGGCACGGCCTGGCTATGTTAATTACATTAATATTTAAATGTATGGGTGCTTCGCCCGGCGCCCTCACAATTTCGGGCCTTGAGCGGACGCCCCATTCACCATCACCCCTAGCGCCGGCCCTTGGCTGTAGATATAAGATATCAATTACTTTAGACCAAAAAACATTCGCTGATCATCTGAAGTAAACCCGATGAGTGAGACAAAAATGTTTAACCATTGCAGAAGTAACTTACGTGAAAGAAACGGGTTCAAAAGTCTGCCGCTGACCAAACACCACAACCAAGAGACATAACTCTACGATCAACAGTGGCGCCATCTTAGCCATTCTCTTGTTAACGAATAAGTTACACATAAAATACGTCCAAGTCTCGTGTCTTTAACCAGCTCGTTTGTGTGAGCGAGACGAGAAAATTCTGACCGCCTTCAATTCGCACCTTTTTTTTCCCCCCACCTAACACTTTTCAGCTTGGTGACTAAATCCTCTCGTCATGTGATCCTAGTCATGCAACAACAAGACACTATTGTATCACTCTTTGACTAACACATTGTTCCAAATTCATTAATATCCCCCCAGCTCTTCCCGTCAGAGACGTTCTGATGGCATCCAATAGAAGAGATACCGTCAGTGGGAATGTTTCAAACTCCGGGGACACTGACACAACACAGCCGGCAAACTCTAGATAGTGTGTTTCTTTTTTTAAAGCCACCGTTCGTTTCAGATGGCTCAAGTGGTGGCAGTTTACAAGGGGAAAGAACCTGAGCCCAAACGCCGGGGACACTGAGGTGCAGCCCTTCACTGTCCGTTGATGTAAATAAGGGTGACAGTATGTCAGACGACAAATTGATGGCACGTTCGCTTTATCCCAGTGTCGTGTGGAAAACTGGGTGTCTTTTTTTTTTAGAACGCACTATACAATGGGTAACACACTGGATTACAGTGGGTAATTTTGTACTACAAGTGTGCTATATTGTACTACATTGAGTTATATTGTAATTAAGAGAGTTGTATTGTACTACGTTGAGTTATATGGGTACTAAAATGAGTTATTTTGTACCACAGTGAAGGGGTTTAAATTGTTAAAGTCAGAACTGTACAAGTTTAGAAATACACGGCCCAAAAGCATTTTAAATAGAAATGGAACAGTGTCCGTTCATAAACACCTGCATGATTGCATGCTTTGATCGAATTTGGTTGTATGCAAAGAAAATGGTAGATTCCCCGTAATATGGACAGAATTGTTGGATGATTTTGCTAATTAATTATGCTGTCATACCCAATTACACACACACTCACACACACACACACTCACGTCTGGAGGAAGTTCCGAGGAACGAGGGGTTGAGGGACAGGTTGGAGTGAGGGGTGGAGTAAGGGGTCGGAGGGGCAGGGAGGACTGAGGGGTGGAGTAAGGGGGTGGAGCGAGAGGTTGAGGGACGGGGTGGAATGAGGGGGTGGAGCAAGGGGTGGAGTGAGGGGGCTGAAGGGACGGGTGGAGGGACGGGTAGAGGGACGGGTGGAGGGACGAGGTGGGGTTAGGGGTGGAGTGAGGGACTTGGTGCGGGGTGGAGGGAGGGATGGAGGGACGGGGTGGAAAGAATGGGTGGATGGACGGGTGGATGAACGGGTGGAAGTACGGGGTGGATTGAGGGGGTGGAGAGTGAGGTGGAGTAATGGGGTGGAGCGAGGGTTAAGTGAGGGTGGCGGGATGGTGTCGAGTGAGGGGTGTAGTGAGGGGGTGGAGTAAGGGCTGAGGGACGGGGTGGAGGGAGGGGTGGATGGACGGGGTGGAGTGAGGGGCTGGAGTGAGGGGCTGGAGTGAGGGGTGGAGTGAGGGGGTGGAGTGAGGGGGTGGAGTGAGGGGGTAGAGTGAGGGGTGGAATGAGGCGGTGGAGTGAGGGGGTGGAGTGAGGGGGTGGAGTGAGGGGCTGAAGGATGGGGTGAGTGAGGGGTGGAGTGAAAGGTTCAGTGAGGGTGGAGGGATGGTGGAAGAGGGATGGAGCTATGGGTGTAGGGAGGGAGTAGTGGCATGGGCGGAGGGACGGGGTTGAGTGAGGGGGTGGAGGTTAAATAGTTTTATGTGATGTGGTCGAAAATGTTGATATCAATGATGTTTAGAGCGATTACCTCCTTAAACTAAAGAAAAAAAATTGCTTTCAAAAATAGCATTCTTTAAATAGAGTCATTCATTCTACACCGCATATGTTTACGCGGCATTTTGTTTACCCATTGTGTGGCAGTGATAAATTAAGCCGTGCAGCCATTGTCAGCTGGTCACCGCCCTGTCGACCCTCCGTGACTTTAACGGTGAACGTTCTCTGTTTTCACTTTTCAGTAGGGCGATCCGGTTAGTGTTGACATGCCCAACATTTCGTGCGAGGCTGTCAAGACCCAATGTTGGATGTTGGTGAGAAAGTTGGATTATTAAAACTGTGTTGTTGACGTGAGCTGGACGAGTGGCGAAAAAAAAAAAGGGGGGGGGGGGGTGGGGGGGGGGTTGAGGGGGGGTTTAAATCGAGGCTGTCCACTGCTACGAAGAGCGAGAATGAGGAGTTGGACAATTGCCATGACACCTGTAAATGTAATGGCCGTAAAAATATTACGACATAGATGTTACTTTTGATGATACCTATTGGAACAGCAAACTAAGTTCACGCCATTCAGTGAGAATGTGAACCACTCCAACATTCGGACAGAAAGATCATATTCCGTCAGAATGACGTCATTGGCCCCCGTGGGGTAGGAAGGGTGGTGTGGAGGAGGCGGCCCCCCACCCTCCGGCTGCACTTTTTTTTTTACATCCTCTGTATTCACTTCGTTCTTGTTCGTGTGTTTCCGTGTGGCAACCCTCTTCCCGTCATCCTATTGAGCTAAAACATGGCCCATAGACTCTTTGCCGATGACAGCCCATTCTATCAAATTTTTAGCCCCACCCCCACCCCCAAACCCCCAAAATCAGTTTTTCTTGATTTCATGGGTGAGGGAAATTTTAACAATTTGTTCAATGGGTGAGTGCTTTGGTTTGGAGATTAGGTGTGTAGCTGTTGCTATGTGCATTGTATTTGTGACGTATTCGGGTAAAAATGAAATGTATTTTTGAAGGAAAAATGTAGGAAATATGAAGCGTGTTTTCGCCAGAAGTTTACCCATTTCCATAACCACTTCTTAATAAATGCTAAATTACACAAATGGCAATAAAAATACATATAAAGGATTTATTTAAAAAAACACAAAAAAAACTTGTTTTGAAAGGTTGTTGAATTCTTTATGTTGGAGGGCCGGCAGTTTCGGCCGACTGTTGATTTTTTTTTTATCGTAGACGTGAGGCGGCAAAAGTCCTAGCCCGCCCCGGACGGCGTTTACCTTAACCACACCACTGCATGGGTCACACTTCCAAGCATTAACTCCAAGACAACTTAAGCTATACATATCTCCTCCACGTAACCCGTTAGTAATTTTTTTTTTACAAGGAAAAACGAATGGAGTTGTTTACAAAGTAGTACAAAAATACGTGTCTCTTTATGAGCCCTCCACACAAGTCAAATAAATTGTCTTTTAATTTTAAACGGAGGGGGGCCCACAAAAAAAATGATTAAAAAAATATGTCGAAACGGATGTTAAGTCTTGAAAAACAAAAAAACTTTAATAAATATACCCAATGATTTAAGATACAAACTTCCGGTCAACAAATAGTTGGTCCAGGGGTCAAGGTGAAACAGAAAAAACACAATAAATAACTTTAACTTTTTGGGGGACGGGGGCATTATGCGTTTATATTCCCTTTAAAATTCCAATCCTTATCAGATGTGCTTTACTCCTTTATTAAAAAAATCATTAATTAAACATTTTGTTCCACTCCACAGCCGCAGGGGTTACATGGCCTGCGTGACCACAGCCGCAGGGGTTACATGGCCTGCGTGACCACAGCCGCAGGGGTTACATGGCCTGCGTGACCACAGCCGCAGGGGTTACATGGCCTGCGTGACCACAGCCGCAGGGGTTACATGGCCTGCGTGACCACAGCCGCAGGGGTTACATGGCCTGCGTGACCACAGCCGCAGGGGTTACATGGCCTGCGTGACGGCTTTGGTAGTGTGGAATCAACTCACATAGCTCATGTAACTGACGCTTTCGTTTTCTTTTATTTAAAATGTGACCTTTACCGAGTTCCGGTTTTGAACTGGACAGGCTTCTATTACATTTTTTAATACCGCTCCGTAGCCGGAGATTTGATCGAAAGAAATTTATCGACGGAAAATTGATTGAACGGAAATTTGGTCGAATCTTTTGTTCAGTTCTCACGTTAAAATTTTGCTTCAAATCTCTTTTTGAACGCATTATTTTATTTTACTATATAATGCACGGCGTTCAAAAAGAAATTTGACGAAAATTTAACGTGTGAACTGAAAAAAAAAGATTCGACCAAATTTCCGTTCCATCAAGATTTCCGTCGATCAATTTTCTGTCGATGAAATTTCTTTCGATCAAACTTCCGGTAAACAAACCGCCCTTCCTCAGACTCCACAAGTTTTATATCACTATGACTGAGTGGGTAAAAAAGGCTGTCACGCAGCGAGCGTCATGCGTGGTGGTCCAACTCAGGTCAATAATTTAATTTTTATTTTCTTTAAGGGGATGCGACTGTTATATTAATCAATAAAGCGCCACGGGTATGGTGTTGGACTGTCTGTAGGTTTATTGTTTAAAGGCCGGCAGGTAGGGCGTAGGACTGTCTGTAGGCCTATTGTTCAAATGCCGGCATCATGAAAAATGAGACGTTAATTGTGTATGTACTTCTTGGACCCATCGGATCTTTCCTCAAAATACCTGGACCCGGTGTAAAAATACTGCACCCGGTTAAGCCCTAGTATATATTATTATTCATCCTTCGCATGCGGAGATGACCATGGCAATATTTGACATTAGTAGTAGCCTTGAATTGAGCTGCATTTTGTTTGATGTGAGGAAGAGTTGCTCAATTCATCATCATCATTCACTCCCCCTTGTCTGTATTATCCATTGGCAAGAATTAGTTTAGACGACTGGAAATTGACCAGGATGCAGTAGATGACCCTCACTGTTTTTTTTTAAATTTTATTGTTGTTTACTTTACTGTGCACTTTATGCGTTCCACGTCACAGCAGTAGTTGGAATTTTAATTGTGTCAATATCATACTGCCTACGGGACTCCATCTCCAAGTTTGCTTTTAGAGTTTGCCTTCTCCTAGAAGAGTTGCCATCCAAGGTTAACGAGTCCCATCCACCCTGGGTGCTGTGTTTCGTTGTTTTTTTGTTGTTGTTTTTTTTTTGTTGTTGTTGCTGTTGTTCTGTGTTGTTGTTGTTGCTTGTATAGGCTTTTGCTGCAGAGGGAGGGACATACATCTCTAACACTCTCGTAACCAGAGCTGTTGCGTGTGTCCTGCAATCCCTGCGGCTGCATGAAGGGGGCCTCGGGTATTTAAGTGGCCCAAAGTTATAATGTAGGAAAACAATCTAAATTTAGAATAATCATCATCAGTGGCGCTACAGCCCATGTAGGGCCCTGGCCTGCTCCACCACATCCTTCCATTCGGAGCGATCCATGGCTTTCCGCCCCCATGCATGAACCCCCAACTGGTGTATATCCATCTCCACATCATCGATCCATCTCAGCCTTAGAGTTAAGAATTTAGAATAAAGGGGCACAAAACCGAAAAAATTCGGCATAGGGCTTCTAAAAGTCATGCGACGGCTCTGCTCGTAAACCACCCCTCACCTCCAACCTAACTTTAAGGGAGTTCCTGAAAGTCTCCACTATATTTTTTATTAGTAAAGGTATGTGGTAAATGCTTGGGGGCGTTTCCTGCTGTAACAGTCAGGCTCCTAACGA